AGAAAAGAAAAGAAAAGAAAAGAAAAGAAAAGAAAAGAAAAGAAAAGAAAAGAAAAGAAAAGAAAAGAAATGGGGCCTGAACAAACAGCAGGTAAGAGCACATACTGTTCCTACAGAGGCCAGAGTTCAATTCTCAGCACCCACGTTTGGCAGTTCATAACTTCTGGTATAGCTCCAAGTGATCTGACACTCTTTGGCCTCCTCTATTCATGTACACATACACATATACACACAGAGACGCATAATTAAAAGTAAAATAAATAAATAAATTTAAAGATACTAACTTCAGGGTTTGCATAGCCATACTTAAGGAATTGTAGAGTGATGGTTCTCCATTGCAGGTCATATCCACAGCTTTCTTCAAAGATGTTATGTGTTTCCTTGGGTTTCCTACAGTAAAACGAAATAACTTTTAATAAAACACTATATATAAATATAGAAAAGCATGTTGTTTCCAAACTGTACAAATCTATGATTTTTAAAGAACAGAATGGCTTCAATTTCTATTTTTATCAATTTGCATTTTTATCAGAAATGTTTAGTAAAAAGTCTCATTTCTTTTATTTGTTTGTTTTGTTTTGTTGTTTTTCAAGACAGGCTCACTAAGTAGCCCTGGCTGTCCTGGAACTCACTATGCAGACCAGACTGGCCTTAAACTCAGAGATCCACCTGCCTCTGCCTCTTGAGTGCTGGGATGGAAGGCTTGCACCACCACCTTGGCTCAACTGTCTTACTGGAAATAAAATATATATATAAATAGATATAAAATCTGTATCCAGGAATATACATTTAAAATTAATATTAATCTAGAGTGAATAATTTTTACTCTTAAGAAGTAAAGATGGGATATATCTGTATATTTCACCATTTGTAAGTTCAGTATTTTCATATTTTAGCATTCCTAAAACAGAAAAATTTCAAGTTCTAGGCCTGCCTGAGCTACATAGTTTCAAAAAAAAAAAGTGAAAAGTTTCTAGAAAGATTATTAATATAAATGATTAATTTTTTATGTAGGTGAACAAAGAAAAAAGCAGTGACATATAAAATTTTATTAGTGAAGTAAATATTCATAAAAAAATGTCACGATTCCTTATTTTTCACAGGGGAAGAAAACAAGCATTCGCAAAGACCTAAAACAGGATGATTCTAACAAATAAGCAGATGTGTTACTTTTGCAACATCTTTGAGGATTAAAAGCCTTCTTACGAGCCTGCCTGTGCCTGTCAATGCTTCGAAAACAGTTGACAGACATCAGCACTACCCTGCTATAAATAACTCATGACTAACTGCTAGGCTTTCCCGCCTTCTTCTGTTTTGCTATGCTGTGTTTGGAAGTCTGAGACTGGGTCTTGTAACTTCAAATTCACTAGCCCAGGGTGGCCTGAAACTTACAATTATCTTGCCTCAACAGTGCCAGAAACACAGGTTCCCGTAACACCTGCTTTATTTGTTAAGTAGGTTTTGGTCTTTTCTGCCATGAACTGTCTATTTCCATTTTCTAACAAACCCAAACAAGTGAAATGACACAGACCCACCTAACAGTAGGAGTACTAACACCCAAACCTCAACCTCCTGGTTCTCTACCCACTTCCCCACTACCATCTCACCAAAACATTTACAAATCCACTGTGTGGGGGGAACAGGAGAAATGCACTTTACCTCAGCCTCAGTGTGGCTTACAGCAATGGTCTGACTGTCAGGAGAGAAACTGTCCAAGAGGCTTATCAGAATCCCTAAAGGACAGTTCTTTTCAACATATGAATTCACTGGCATCTAAACAAAACTGCTTTGAATTTGAGGCCAGCAGAGAAAAAGAGTTGACTCTTATCTTCTTCCTCAATCACATGACAATCCTAGTTAGTCTGTGGGGCTGACATCCTTCCATTCTGCTATGGGCACAGCATGTAATCGAAGCCAACCAACAAAATATTTCATCTCCCTGGCTGTTGGAATGAAGTTAGAAAAAAACAGAGATCCCTAGAAACAGGTACATGAAAAATTAGCCCGCCTCTGAATGTATCCCAATTTCCTTTTTTTCAAAAGAAGTATTTTTTTTCAAATTATTTTCAGTTGTTTTTGTTTTTGTTGTTTGTTTTGTTTTGTTTTGTTTTGTTTGTTTTTTTGTAAATGCCTGTTTTAGCTGCATGTATGTCTGTGCACCCTGCATGTGTCTGGTGTCCCTAGAGACCAGAAGATGGTATTATACCTGCTGAAGTGGGGTTACAAATGGTTATGGAGTGACATGTGGGTGCTAGCAATTGAATTTGGAGCCAGTGCTCTTTGCTATTGAGCCATCTCTTCAGCCCTGGTTTCGTTTCTTTTGGTACTGGTTATCAAACCCAGGACCCTAGCCTTCCCAAGGACTATTTGAAGGGTGTGATAGTTTAATGTAATTGGCCCCCAGAGCTCATAGGGAGTGGCACTATTAGAAGGTGTGACCTTGCTGGAGGAAGTGTATCATTGTACAAGCAGGCTTTGAGCTCTGATGCTCAAGCCACACCCACTGGGCCAGTCTCCTGCTCCCCTCAGATCAAGTCATAGAACCGTCAATTCTGTCTCTAGTACCATGCAGCCTGTATGCTCCCGTGCTTCTGACCATGATGGTAAGGGTCTAAGCCACTGAAACTGTATGCCAGTCCCAATTAAATGCTGTCTTTTTTTAAGAGTTGCCATGGTTAAGCCAGGTGTGGTGAAGTACACCTTTAATCCCACTTAGAGGCAGAAGCAGGTAGATCTCTGTGAGTTTCAAGCAGGCCTGATCTACAAGGTGAGTCCAGGACAGCCAAGGCTACACAGAGAAACCCTGTCTCAAAAAACAAAAGAAAAGAAAACAAACAAACAAAAGGTGCCATAATGTCTCTTCACAGCAATAAAACCCTAAGACAGGGAGGATTACTGTCAACTGATTTCTTGGCACACTTTTAGCAAATGTATATTTGATTTCTTACGGCCAGAATCAACAAGTATGTCATCTCCCTTATGTGTAGTAGTAGAAAAGATTGAGAACCTAATTTAAGGAATAGTATATTTTAAGGGATAGTATGTTTTACAAAAAAAAGAGTGCTGAAATTTGTAACAGCATATATAATAAAGGCAAAAGAAATTGCTGTTAGTATCGTTTCATTTTTAATTTCTTTACTTTATGTGTATGACTGTTTTGCCTGCATGTATGTGGTCAAAAAAGGTTGTCAGATTCCCTGGAACTGGAGTAACAGACAGTCATGAGCCCATGTATGAGTGCTGAGAACCAAACTCAGGTCCTCTGCAAGAACAAGTACTCTGAGCCATTTATAAATAGCCCAATTCAACTTTCATACTTTTTGCTTTTTAAATTAGATATTTTTTAATTTGAAAATTAATTGGATTTATGAATAGTTAGCAATTAGGCTATCTTATATTTTTAGGATAAGAATATATATTTGAATAAACATATTTACTTCCAGTGCAATATATCCACACTTCAGGTTGAAACAATTAACAGTAGGTCTCAAAAGCTCAATAGAGTCAGTAAGTTGTTTCACTTTACATACCAGGCAGCCACATAGACAAGATCAGAGCCAGGTAAGCAAAGTCCTTGAGTCTCATAAGATACTTTCATGCATACCTGAGAGTTCAGTGAGTTTTTCAGCTCTTTTGCTCTTAGTTACAATTATTCCAATCTCAAAATAAAAACAAAAATAATGATTTTAATATAACAAATTATTTCATAAAAATCCATGTACTATCAATTAGTAACTGCAGAAAAAAAAGAAACATACATGAAATCTTTTCTCATGGTGTTTTTTAAAAATCTAGGTATGACTGACTATACATTTTTGAAACTCAGTACATGTTTAACTTTTAGAGTTATTTTGTTCTTCACTATTAAGTATATCAAATATAGGTACATAATCTGGTTCCCTTAATACTTCAAAGAATATATGCCCCATTTTAAAAATTAAACTATATTTGACAGCAAAATAGGAATCTAGTTCTGAATTCTACCATTTATCTACATACCTGACTGATAGGATTTTGATCAAAATATTCTTCTACAAAGTATTCCAATAACTGTTGAAAGAAAATTAAGAAAGCATTATATAAAGGCAAAAGAGCAACAATAAACATGCCAATATTCTGTAGAACCGATTATTAAGCAGCACTTCTCATGACCTTTGGCGGGGGGCAGACAAGGGTATCAGTTGAGAGAGTGTCTCAGTATGCATCCCTGGCTAGCCTCATCTCACTCCTAGGCTGACATTGAACTCTGAGTGAGGCTCCTTTCCCTGCCTCCTGAGCGCTTGATTTTAGGTAGGTAACACCACCACTCTCAGCTTATCATAAATTTCAAACACATTTTGAAAATGTTAGTTGTAAAAGCATAGTGAAAATCTGCAGGTGAAATGGGTAGTAAGACAGACACAGCCCAGTTTAAAGATGAAGCTATGTCAAGCACAGGTACCTGCTGCCCCTACTATGGGAAGCTGAAACAGGAGGGTCTCCTAATGCAAGGAGTTTGGGGTCAGCTGAGGAAACACAGCAAGGTCTAATCTTGAAATTCAAAACCAAAAAATAAAAAGAGTATTGAACTTGTCTAAAAAAATGTAAATAAGAGAAAGATCCAACAAAGATAGAGGTACGAACAAAATCAAGAACAGGTATTAGTAAATCAGAATGTTAGCAAGGTACAGTGTATACATCTTTAGTCCCAGCACTCGGGAGGCAGTGCTGGCAGAGGCAGGCAGTCTCTGAGTCTCTGGTCTACAGTTAGTTCTAGGATAGCCAGGACTACACAGAGACTCTATCTCAAAATAAGTAAGTTGGAATATTATTAATGTGTTAAGTTGAAAATACAGATTCAGAAAGTCAAAGGAGAATGAAAACTCAGTTGAGGGGGCAGAAACTAGCCTCGAGAACAGCGATTCTCAGTAGGATGTGACTTCTTTGGGGATCAAACGACCCTTTCACAGGGGTCAACTAAGATCATTGGAAAACACAAATAAACATGATTCATATCAGTAGCAAAATACAGTTGTAAAGTAGAATGAAATAATTTTATGGTTGGGGATCACAACAACACGAGGAACTGTGTTAAAGGGTCGCAGCATTAGAAAGGTTGAGAACCACTGATTTACAGAATAAACCAAACAACCACTTATTCAGGTTGTTGTTTTGCTCTGTTTTGTTTTTCCAGACAAGGTATCTTTGCTGTAGCCCAGGCTGTCCTGGAACTGTAGCCCAGGCTGGCCTCACACTCACAGAGCTCCGCCTGCCTCTGCCTCCAGAGTGCTGGGATTACAGTCATGTGCCACCACTGCCCAGCCTCAAGTCCTTTATTTAAACAATTTATTTTTATTATCAGGCTCTATGTGTGAGAATATGCACCACAGGACACTTGTGGAGGTCAGAGGACAACTTTTTAGAATTAGCAGGTTTTTCTCCTTTCACCATTTTTTCTTTTTAGATTTATTTATTTTATGTGTATGGATGTTTTGCCTGTATGTGTATCTGTGCACCACATAAGTGCCTGGTGCCTGTGGAGGCCAGAAAAGAGCATTGCATTTCCTGAAACAGGAGTTATAGCCAGTTATAAACCGCAATATGGGTACTGGAAGCTTAGATTGTCAGTCTTGCTGGCCCTTTTTTTTTTTTTTAAAGATACTGTAGGATTAACTCAAAATATATTTACAGACTAGTTCTTGGAATAAAAAGTCGCTTTAGAAAATGATCTTGTGGGACTGGAGAGATGGGTGTTCTTTTTTTTTAATGTATTTATTTATGTGTATGAGTACTCTGTTTGTATGTGTGCCTTCATGACAGAAGAGGGCACCAGATCCCAGTATAGATGGTTGTGAGCCACCCTGTGGTTGCTGGGAATTGAACTCAGGACCTCTGGATGAGCAGCCAGTGCTCTTAATTGCTGAGCCATCTCTCCAGCCCCCGAGATGGCTGTTCTTCCAGAGGTCCTGAGTTCAATTCCCAGCAACCACATGGTGGCTCACAACCATCTATACTGGGATCTGGTGCCCTCTTCTGTCATGCATGTAGAGTACTTGTCATAAATAAACAAACAAACAAATAAATAGAAGATAAATAAATGAAAAAGAAAATAATCTTGCAGCATTTCTACTTATAACATTTGTTATTAATTGCAAAAACAAATCAAAACAAAATGTCCCGAATTAGCACAGACATACATGCATTTACTATACCTTCAAAGTACATGTCAGTCTATTGGGCTTTAAATCTTGATCCTCCATTGTTCTCGATCCATCCACCACCACATAAAGGTGGCGCATCTACCAAAAACAAACGAGGAAGACAATTTCTAAGTATATTTTTGAATAAGAAGCAAAAATATCATTTAATACTCAAATATCCTAAACACACATTTTAAATATATTCTTTTAAAAACTGTTGTTTTACTGTTTATTCTGTCAAGTCAGAATATTTCTCTGATCCAAACTAGTTCTGCACAAGTAAAAGGAAAGAATCAGAACATACCATCCCAAGTCGAACTTGTCCATGGTGCTCAAACACTCTGTTAAAATTACAAAAATACTTTAATTGAACATCATATGCTACCAAAAAAAAAAATCAATAAAACAATCTGTATTTTTAGCGAACTATTAACCTTTGGAATACATATAACGACAGGCATCATGGATGGTCTCTGAAGACCACTTTTGTGGGGTGCAGGGCTATTGCTAGTTCTTTACCCCAGTCAGACAATGGTGGTTGAGCTTCCCTCAGCATGCAGTTAAAAAGAAGTGCTACGGATGGCTACAGCGGGACAGAAAGGCTTCAGGAATGCATTTTCTTTTGTAACTCTCAGAAGTGTTTCATACCTTTTCCTCTTTGCCTTGAAGAGAATATCTTCTATTGTAGCTTTAAGTGATCCAGTTTCATCTTCTTTAAGAATTTCCCTGGAAACAAGTTATTTGTTTTAATAAGATAAAAATACTAACCCAAATAAAAATGAAAACATGCAAAGATTTGTATATGAATGTTCGCAGCAGCACAATCCATAATGGCAAAAAAATTGGAACTGATATAAATGTTCATCACATGCTGAATGAATAAACAAAAATGTATATACAAAGAAACATACATGAATGAGCTTTGAAATTTACATAAGATGTATAAGAAAGGTGAATCTATAGATTATAACTTGTCTGCAGGTGATAGAAATAAAATGAGTATAAAGGACCTTATCATCATGATTAAAATGTTCTAAAAGTAGTTTATGGCAAGAGCTATATAAAATAGTAAATTTTATTCAAAAAAATTCATTGGATTTTAAATTGACATTTATGAATTTTAACACATATAAACACACTTTAAAAATTGAAGTTAAGAAGAAAGAGACAATATCTACAACATGGGACAATTATATTCTACTTACCATGTCCTCTCATAGCCTCCTTCCCACCGCTTAGTTCTTTCAGGTTCTTCATCCATTTTTTTATGATATATACTTATTCAACACTGTATAAAAAAACATTAGATCACAAGTTTTCTAAAGATGGTTATTACAAAATTATTCTAATTACTTGATAGTTAAGGACAAAGTTTAAAATATCAGAATGCAAGGTCATTTTATTCTTGTAGTTTCTTCAGGACCTATTCTATGAAAATAAAAAAATATCAGCCAGGCAGTGGTGGCACACACCTTTAATCCCAACACTTGGGAGGCAGAGGCAGGTGGATTTCTGTGAGTTTGAGACCAGCCTGGTCTACAAAGGGAGTTCTAGGACAGCCAAGGCTACACTGAGAAACCCCGTCTCAAAAAACAAAATACAAATGTCTCATAAAACTGTTTCCTAATCCCAATAAATGTTATGACTATTTACAGACAAACCTGGCAGCAACAAAAATAAGCATGTTTTTGTAATTTGTAAGAAAACAAGGTTCTTTCATGGATATGTCCCTGAACAAGGCCATAAAAATCTGAGAGATAACATAGGAGACTAAACATAACCAACCATTGTAGCTGAGTGATCAATACAAGGCAATTCATTGCTCTCTCCTGTGTGTGGGTTTGAACTTTCTCATAATCACATTTTAAAAAATAAAATTTATAATTTATAAACAGGTAAATGCTACAGCTCATAATTCAACAAGATACAAAATTACATACGCAGTATGACCTTAACTATTAAAGGGAAAAAAAAATAAAAGGAAAAGGTTGCGTGTTTTAAGTATCACAGTTGGGAGTGGTGGTGCCTTCAATGCCAGCACTGCACTCCACAGGCAGATCCCTGAGTGTGGGCCAGCCTGGTCTACATGACAAGTATTACAAATGGTTTCATCTGTAAGATAGGATTAAGATTAATTGGAGTTTTCTGCTTTTAATTATCTTATATACATTAATATAATGTCTACTTCTTTAATAATTAGGGACAAAATTTCTAGGGATGACAGCTCACAGGTTAAATTCCAGCTGGAGAAATGCAGCAAGTCTGAGACCAGAGTGGTCTACACAGTGAGCTCCAGGCTAGTCTGGGCTAGAAAATGAGACTCTATCTCAAAAAACAAAAAGAAAGGAAGGAAGGAAGGAAGGGAGGGAGGGAGGGAGGGAGGGAGGGAGGAAGGGAGGAAGGGTGGGTGAAAATTTGGCATTAGATTTGTTCCCCCAACACCACCACCACAACATGCTCGGTTTCTTCTCCCATAAGGACTCTTAAATGCCAAGACACTATGGACAAAAGCATATCCTCTAACATTGGCAGGGACAAAGATACCTTTTTTTGTGAGTGTGTGTGTGTGTGTGGGGGGGGGGGGTTATAAAGACTATAAGCAATACTTTATCCTCCTTCTGTAACACTGTTTCTATAGAAAAACTGAAATGGGCCCGGATGTAGCTCAATTGAAAGAGTGCTGTCTAGAATGCACAAAGCCCTCAGAATGATCCCCAGCACCACATAACAATGAGAAAGACAGCACAAACTTGTAATCCCAGTACTCAGTGAAGGCAGGAGGATAAGAAGTTCAAGGATGGGGTCAGGCAGTGGTGAACTCCTTTTATCCCAGATCTTGGAAGACAGAAGCAGGTGAATCTCTGTGAGTTCAAGGACAGCCTAAGAGACATGAGACCCTGTCTCAAGGGAGAGAGGTTTCCTGAAGGCATAACACCTGAGTTATTTTTTTAATTAATTTATTTATTCAATTTACATCATAACCATAGCCCCCTCCCTCCTCTCCTCCTGGTCCCATCCTCTCTTCCCCCATCCTCCCTCTCCTACTCCTCAGGAAAAGAGAAGCCTCACCCACACACACCCCAGCTCATCAAGGCTGAGCACATCCTCTTCCTCCATGGCCTAGTGAGGCAGTCCTGCCAAGGTGGAATGATCAAAAAGCAGAGAGTCCATGTCAGAGACAGACCCTGCTCCACTTACTAGGGTACACACATGAAGCCTAAGATGCCCATTGGCTATATCTGTGGCCTAGGTCCAATCTACACATGATCCTCGGTTGGTTCTTCAGTTTCTGCCCTGGTTAACTGGCTCTGTTGGTCTTCTTGTGGAGCTACTGCCACCTCCAGGTCCTTCTATCCTTCCTTTCACTTTTCCACAAGACTCCCAATACTTCACCCAATGTTTGGCTGAGTATCAAAGACCTGAGCCAACTCCCCCTCCCCCGGCACTCACACACAAACACAGCTGTAATCCCAAACCTAGAGGCAGGATTGGGGGAAGAAGGAAGAACTTGGTGGCCAGCCAGTCTAGCCAATCAGTATGCTCCAGGTTCAAGAAGAGACCCTATCAAAAAAAGGAGAGAATACAAAGACACCAGACATCAGTTTCGAGGGTACACACATAAACCATAAACACACAACACATACACAAATATTGGGGCAGTAGGAGGGAGAAATGGGGATGTCACGGTAGTGTACTGAGGTTTTTCTGTTTTGCTTTTGATTTTTCAAGACAGGGTTTCTCTGTGTGCAGCCCTGGCTGTCCTGGGCTCACTTTGTAGACCTTGCTGGCTTTGAACGCACAGAGGTCTGCCTGCCTCTGCCTCTGAGATTTTATTCGTTAAAGGCAAATTATCAAGTTTTCTGAGACAAATGATGAGGAATTTCTTAATTCAGTGAGAAATATACAAGCGTAGCAGATTTCATAAAAAGCCCCTTAGGAAGCTGGATGGTGGTGGCGCACCCTTTTAATCCCAGCACTCTGGGTGGCAGAGGCAGGTGGATCTCCGTGAGTTCGAGGCCAGCCTGGTCTAAAAAGTGAGTCCAGGACACCCAGGGCTACACAGAGAAACCCTGTCTCAGTAAAACAAAAAAAAAAAATAAAATAAAATTCTGCTAAAATGAACAGAATCACAGAACAAGTGTGTGCCCGTGCACATATACTGCATTTAAACTTTCAAAATAGGTTCCACCACATCAGTATATACTTTACATGTTACTCTTTTATTCTTCTCTTAAGTTCAGAGAAAATGAGAAACAAGGAATAAAAACTGTACAACTTTTGGCTCATCGTATGCGGGGCATCTCAATTAAAAGGACTCCCCAAACTGCAGATACACTAGTCCACCTCTTAGAATTCCAGCCATCACATCCATCCACCCGCGAGAGGCCGAAAGTCAGTCCACAGCGTGCTTCCCGTCAAAGAGCTGGGAATGCCATCAGCCAACGCGAGAGCCGCAGCGCGTGCGGCGACCGGCGGGGCTCTGCCTCACCTTACCCTTGCCTGGCCCGAGGACGACTGACAAGGGCGATTACCGTCCCTGTTTTTCGGAAATGGACAGTTCTGGTGCTGCAATCTCGCTTCAGGTCACACAGCTAGAGATACGAGGCCAACAGGAGGCCGAGCCGAGGAGAAACAACGGTCCCCCGACTCGGCAGGCGGAAGCTGCCGGTCTCCCTGCACACGCCCCTCCCGCCGTCTTCCAGGTCCCCCGAGGCCAGCCCGGGCATTGCACCTCCGTCCCCTACTCTAGGCTCCTCCCGTCCGCCTCGCACCTACCCTCCACAACCTCGGGGCCGCGCGAGCCTCCACCCGTAGACTCACCGGCTCTAAAGACACGACCCTCACCGGAAGTGCCGGCAGTCAGTGAGCATCGCCAAAATATCTCCGCAGCGCATTGGAGCCACGCAAAGAAGTGTTCCGGGGCTGCGGAAAACTGCTGCCAGAAGGGGGAGCCGTGGAGCAATGGTGCCCAAGAGCTTAACTTTCCCTTCCGGCTCTTGAGCGCTGAGAGAACAGTTTGGAGTGACAGCTGAGGAATCACCCAGAACAGGAACGTTTAACCATGCTGGCAGCTGGGCGAAAGCTCTCCGGGCAAAGAAAACTGCAATTGCAATCTCTGAGGCAGAAGCATATTGGTGTGGTTGGGGTACGGCCAGAGTGAGCGTGGGACAGCTGAACTTGTGAATAGACAGGATCTGTGTATAAATGACAAATTAGAGGTGACTTCAAGATTTCTACAATGGGGTGAACTTCTGCAGGCCAAACAGCCAAAACAACAAGTTCTGGATATGTTAAATGTCAACTTAGGGGGATTTTTTTTTTTTTATATGTCTGGATGGTTTTGCCTGCATGCATGTCTGTGCACCATGTGTCTAGTTAGGGTGGGACAGAAGATGGCATATGATACCCTGGAACTAGAGTTACAGATATTTGCTATCTGCCATGTGAACGATGGGACTCAAATCCGGGCCCTCTGAGATAGCAGCAAATGCTCTTGACTGCTGAGCCATGTCTCCAGCCCCGCTCCCTGAATAACACCCCACCACCACCACGTCGCAGCTCACCCTCTTTAAACCAAGAATAAAAGGATTCGCCCAATAAATTTTAAATACATTTAAAGCCTATCTGTGAAGAGGTAGGACACATCCAGACTGTTCACAGTCATAACTTCAGCTCTGAACAAATTTTAGATTTTAAGACTAAACTAGGAAGATGAGGGGCAGCAGTCATTGAACATATGCCCTCTCTGGCTTTTCTCTCATTTTTTTTTTAACATTTTCCCCACAAAGTCACTCCCTTCTCTTGGATCCCAGGAACGACAAGACTGATCTGTAAACACCTTTATGACTAGAAACCAAAACGACTCCAAGCAAGAGCAAGCCTGGCAAGACACACCACCTCCCAAAGGGGGGCAATTACTTACGATGTGAGGCTCAACGCTGGCACTGGGTTAACCACCTCACGCTAAACAGATGACATCAATAAGAAGTTCCCCGGAAGCCCTTGCAAAAGCAGAACTGACTAGCATAAGCAATCAGACCCATGCCCTGACCAGATTGCCTGTGCTGTCACCTTTGCAAATGTCAACCCTCCATTTCCTTTTTCTATAAAATCTCAACGTTACTCTCAGCCCCTTGAAGACAGACTTGGCGCCAGCAGACCCCTTCATCTCTTTTTCTCATCGTGGTCACTTTAATAAAAATCTCTCCATGCCATTCATCATTATTTGTCTCTTTGGCAAACTTATACCAGTGGCCAAAGACAGTCTGCGGGGACTCCTGGAACACAGACTTTTGCACTAAAACTTTATTGACAAGGGTACTAAAGCAAAACAAATGTGCACAAAATCATAGCAATCCCAGTATGACTAACATTCCAATCACATACAAAGTAATAATGAAATTATCTTACATAGTGAAATATTTTTTCAGTCCATAAAACTAAGAACTGTGAAGAACTGAAATGGAACTGACTGTGGCAGTACATATCCCAGAACTAGACTGAGGCAGAAGGATTACAAATTCAAGATTGGCCTGGACTATAAATCCAAACACACACACTTTTACATACATGCACACACTTTTACATGCGTGTGTGTGTGTGTGTGTGTGTGTGTGTGTGTGTGTGTGTGTGTGTGTGATGGTGGTGTTTCCTCATGGATGGCAATGTAGTTAGGAAATCTGTGAACAGCTTGGCTAATGCAATGTAACTGCAGTACAAAGTGTTTAACTTGAAAGACTGTGAGAAGTGAACCTTCCCATCCCAACACCTCTTTTTTTTGTCGCTGTTGGTTTGGTTTGGTAGTTTTTTATTTGTTTTGTTGTTCGTTGACACGGGGTTTCTCTGTACAGTCCTGACTGTCCTGGAACTCGCTTTGTAGACCAGGCTGGCCTCAAACTCTCAGAGATCAGCCTACTATTCCTGTGCTGGGATTAAAAAGATTTATTTATTTATATGAGTGCCCTATCTGCATGTACACCTGAAGACCAGAATAAGGCATCATATCCCATGATAGACAGTTATGAGCCACCATGTGGATGCTGGGAATTGAACTCAGGACCTCTGGAGGAAGAGCAGCCAGAGTTTGTAAACAGAGAGCCATCTCTCCAGTCCCCATCCCAACACCTCTAAGTTGAAACCAAATCATTATAGCAAAACACTCACTTTTATCTTCTGTACCTAGGGTGCAGACCTGTGTAACACCTGGGTTTCATCCCTGGCACCACACAAACACACACACACACACACACACACACACACACACACACACACTGCAGTTTGCAAGGCACATAAAGGTTCTGCTATAATAATCCTACTGTCTTCATCCTTTGATCATTTCATTGTCCCCTACACATACTTTTAAAACACAATTTGTGAGCAGGAAGGATGGCTCAGCAGGCAAAGGTGCTTGCTGCCAAGCCGGACAAGTCTGTTTGGTCCCTAAGACCCACAAGGTGGGAAGGAAGAAAACCAAGCCCTGCAAGTCGTCCTCTGACCTCTACAACCAAGCAGCGGCACCCATGAGTCCCACACACACAAATAAATGTAATACAATAGTTCAATAACTTATTGTTACGTGCATTGGTGTTTTGCCTGCATATATGCTTGTGTGAAGGTGTCAGATCCCCTGGAACTGGAGCTACAGACAGTTGTGAGCTGCCACGAGGGTATTGGGAATTGAACCTATGCCTTTTGGAAGAGCAGCCAGTGTTCTTAACCGCCAAACCATCTCTCCACCCCAGTAATACAATATGCTTTAAATGAAATACAATTTCCTTTTAAAAACTTTTTGTTAAGGTTTCACTTTCTTACTTTGGAAGACAGGTTGGCTGAATGTATTTATTATTTCACATTTGACAAGGTCTGTCCTAAATCACACATTATTTCCATAATGAGATTACAAGTATCTTTACATTTCTACAGACAG